GCGTGAGCTGCGCCCTGGGGAACGTTTGCGACGCGTGTCACGAATCGCACGGAAGCCGCCGCGCTGCCGCCCGCGGAAAGGGGGGGGTGGAGGAGTGGGGCTGCGCAGCAGCGGGGTCCCCCTTGTCACAGCGAGGGCCGCGCCGCGGCAGGGGCCGGGGATCAGGGTGAAGCGAGCTGCAGAACAGTAAAATGTTTTTAAAAATTAAAAAGAGAAATCCCGCAAAACCGGGGAGGTTCTCAGGCAAAGCAAGGTGAAAGCGAGGGAGGAGAGGGGACAACCCAGCGCCATCACCTTCCAGACACCGCTGCGTGCTCTCGTGAGCTGAGCTCCCTCGTTTCTCCTGTACTGAGAAACTTGCACATAAAAAATATTTCTCCCCAGGAGAAAGGCACCACCACGCGCTTGTCCCCTCCCTGCGGAACGTGGTGGCACCAGGCCACTTGGTTCCAGAAACCCACCTGGATGTACCCCCTGCAGAGGGCCGCGGGGTTCAGCCAAGGCTCAGGGGACGCTCTCTGCTCCGGGATCTTTTCCATGGCTCACTCGATCCCAACGCGCCGGTGGCCAAAGGCACGATGCCTTCGCGCTCCCCCCAGACGGAGCAGGAGGGAGAGGCGACCCCGGGCTGGCTGCGGGAGACTGCACACGCAGCAGGAGCCTTAATCAGCCTGAAGCTCATTAAAGCTGCCCCTGCTCAACACACGAGTGGCCAGGAAACCGCTCTTCCACCGCCAGGTTGTTTTATCGCTAAGGTGCGCTGCCTTGGCCTACAGATGAGGAGCCTCAGTCCTGAGGGATCTGCTAAAAAATAGCCACTCTTCGTACCAGTTTGAGAGCTGAGTTATTCTGCATTGGATCAGGCATCAGGAGCAGAAGGTGAAGCGCCGAGAAGGCAGCGCTCTCCCACTTGCCTCCGATGAGCAAAGAGCCCTCGCTGCTTCGCCATCAGATTCCCACCCATCGGCAGAGGAGAAAAAAAAAAAAAAATTAAGCAGCACTTTACTGTCAAACACTGCACATGCCAAAACATGCAGCTTTTGGTTTCCTAGACGCATGCTGGTAAAAGGTTAGCTCGCGTTAGGGCAAAGTCTTCTCTGCACATTGCACCCAACTGTCTTCTCACAAACCCGAGTCCTGCTCAATGCGGGGCTACAAGCCAAAGCACCACACAGCCGGGTACTTGTTGGGCAAATGCCATCATCCCCAAACACACGGGTTGTAGCTCAGAGCCTGGTTAAACCCCGAGCAGCTCCGGCTGCAGTTAATGCTGTGTCTAGGAAGGCCGGTTCTGCATCGCTCCCATGTCATCTCCTTCAGCTGGTCCCGTTTCATGGAGCCAAGTGACAACCAAACGAAGTGAAAGGGAGCAAGATGGGGGAAGAAAAATGTTGCATTTCACAATACCTTTAAATAATGCCTTTATCAGCACTTACTGCACACTCACAGGGGATCAGAAGGGAGATGAAAGCAGAGAAATCAAGGAAGTTTAGGGAATCAAGATGCCTTTTAACTGCAGGGAAGAAGTACAGACTTTTCCCCCAAAGCATGCTTTCTGTCATGGGGAGAGAAGAAGTTTTCAGCACAACTGACCATTATTTATTTATTTACAGAAGTTAGCTAACACATTTTGAAATCAAATTAAGAGAATCGTTTCTGATTTTCCCACTTCTGCTTTCAAATTAAAAAAAGAAAAAAAAGAAAAAAGTGGGGGAGAAACTGGGCAGGGAGGGCAAGCAAAGAAAAAAGGACAAGAAAATCCTCCATAAAAGTCCACACTCAGTTTCTTCAGCTTTCAAAATAATTAAAGCCCCTTTGGAATGAAAGCATGTGCTGTTTTCTTTTTCCTGTGGAAAACATCGGTCATTATACGCACAGAGCGCTCCACCTTATCAGTGCTCTCTTCCCTTGGGAATGCCCAAGCCTGGAAGCACTGACCCAGGAACAAAGGTCTGGAGCTCAGGAGGCCTTCTTCCCCTGGCACTGAGCAGGAGCCTCTTCACCTCTGCCTGATCCCCTGCGCTGCAGGTGACTCAAACACAACTAACCCTCCGCGGGTGAGCCAGACTTGCTAACAAACACCACAAGCCTTTGGTCAAGCATTTCCCTGCAGCCATCCCTCTTATCTCCTTCTGCCGTGCTCCATCCTCACCTCTTGCTCTGTTTAGAGCTTGGACTCTCCTCTCCCACCGAAACAAGAAAAACCAAAGAGGAAAATAAAGAAAAGCCCTGTGCTCTCTCAGACTCTTCCTGTAGAGTCACACGTGGGAGGTTCGCCAACATCTGCGTGTGTGTACCTCAAACAGAGCTAAATCCATTTCCCTGGGAAAGGATCAGCACCTGGCTTTGCCCAACTCGCTCAGGGAGTGCTCCTGAACCCAGCTGGTTTCTCCAAGAGCTCCTGCAGCCTTTGTGGCAGTGAACAACCTACGGGGCTGGCGCACGCCATGTCGTTTCCTTGAGTATCTTTTCCTCCTTTGGCACCGAGCATCGCTCACTTGCGAAGTGGGAGAATGATACAGCTCCGACAGGGAACATTTCACAAGATACGTGATCACACAAACCCGGTGTTTCAGCACGCGTGCCAGACTCAAGTGGGGTCCGAACATGTTCTGCAAAGCAAACAGCAGAGCTCCATCTCTGAGCGCACCACCACAACTCCAGGTTCTTCCCTGGCTTTGTTTCTACTTGCCATCAGCAAAATCTACCAGCACACCCAAAAACTTCTTATTTCCTTTGCACTCGGTTAGGAAACAATGCATGAGCTGAACCCAAAAATCCAGTGCAGGCTGCCACGGAAGAGGGACAGCACACAGAAACCAACTCCACTCCACCCCAGCAGCCAAAGGACCTGAAGGGCTTCAGCTCCAGCTGCATCAGCTGGGGTAACTCCACTGACAATCAAAGCATCTTTTTTAGACGGATAATAAATTTCCTACTTCGTGCAACTCTCACTTTGTTCTGCTTCCCCTGCCGTGGGTTTGCAATCCAGCGTGGGCTTGTTCCTATCTTAGACAACATCACAAGGGAAAAAATATAGGACAGACAAAGGGATGGAATAAAATCAAGCAGGCAACAAGGCAGGATTTGGAAAAAGCTCATACGCAAAGACCTTTTAAAAAAGCAGCAGCTCGCACACAAAGGCATTTTAAAGAGAAAGAGGCAACAGAAAAAGGAAGTCAAACAAATACATTTCAGTTGGGATTTCTGGTGAAGGTTAATCAGATGGCAGCACCTAGAAATAGATTTTGCAAGTTCTGAGGCAAGGACAAAGTCATAAAGTGATACGTAACTGCCAGTTCTAGGAAAATGCAGGACAGCTCAGTCAGAAAAGCGCAGAGATTTCTAAAAGCACTGACTTCTCAAAAAAAAAAAAAAAAGGAGAAATCTTACTGCAAGGTTCTGACATTGCCATCACGTGGTCGTGGCTTGGGAGAGTGACGGGAGGGAGCAGGGAAGCACAGGCACCAGGAAAGCCAGAAAATTATGCAACAGCTCATCGGACCCTAACGAGGCTTCGCTCCAGAACATGGAGGTGCTGTTTTAATAGAGCTCCCAACCCTGAGACCGAGCTTTGCAGGAGTCTTGGAGACGTGAAATAAGCAGAACTGCTATGAGAGGTTGCGTGCCTCATTAGCGAGAGGATACACTCACGAGGGAAAAGCCCTTCGATCAAGGAAGGGTTGGTTGTTTTTAAGGCTTCACCATGAAAACCCCCTCGCTGCTCTCTCAAGAGATCCTCTCAGGAAGCCTAATGTTCAGCCCCTTCTCGGATCACCAACGGCTTCGGTTTCCAGTATTGGCGCCTTAGAGCACAGCTCCTCAGACCCCCTTGGAGGGGAAGGGGGGGAAGGCAAGCCCCCCGCTTGCTTGGAGAAGCACCTGGGAGAAAGCCGGGTTGCTGGTCGCAGGCAGCAGGAGCAGCAGCAGTCCCATAGCAGCACGGATTCGCAGCGGGATGGTCCAGCTCTGGGGGCTGCCAACTGCCCCCTTACCCTACAGAAGCTCTACCAAAAAGTGGACACGAGTGCTAGTTTGCCTACGAGGCCTAGATGGTGCTAGTCATCAACTGACAAGTTTACAGCAGGAAATCTGCTGTCACTTGGTTCAGAGCAGCTTCCCACCCCGCTCACAACCCACAGCAAAGCTTCGCCACCCAGGTGAACGTAAATGCTCTTCGTAGAGACGCCACCCCAGCGTCCCAGAACGTGGTGGCACTTGCTCATGCTGGAAATCGTCACTTCACAGAGGTCCCGGAGATGCTGCCGGATGGATGACCACGGAGTATTACAAGGCACGGAGGGGCCCACAAATACCAGCTGCCTTTGCTGAAGCTAAAAGGAGCGCAGGAAGATGGGAGAAATAACTCAGTTCCCAACCTCGTGTTCCCTTTCACACCCAGGCTGCCAGTGATCTCGTATTTCTCAGACCTGATAAAGCCTTTTTGCACTCTGGCTTTTCAGCTCTCTGGGTTTCCTTTGCACAGAGCAGCTCTGCCTCTGCTTTGGTGTTTGCTGCTGCTCTCAAAAAGCCACAGAGTCACACTGGTTTCAAGCCCTTGTTATTTCTGAGGCCGTGAATTGAAGAGCCCCTGCCTCGAGGAGCCGGCAATCTGCACGCTCAGGGCAGACAAGAGGCAGAGAGGACGTTCAGCATCCTACAGCAGGCACTGGGTGGCTAATCCAGGCCACGAGCCTCCATCTCCACTCCCCCAGGAGATATTTGACTGGGGTGAGCCCGAGGCTCCTCAGCAGGCAGCCACAGAGGGGAGTTCACTGCTCTAGAGTTAAATACTTCGCTGGACAGGATGCACGATGCCCACATCATACCACAGCTGTTAATACTCAAAGGAACGCCCGATATTTCATTACAGGAAAAAGCAGAATTTCCCAGTTACGTGAGAACTTCACTACTCAGCGAGGGACTGGATGCAGCAGGAGAGAGGCTGGGGATTTTACAGAAGGGTCAGTCTCCACTGACTCAGGTAGGCTTGGAGGTGGCATCTGTTAAAGCCTTAAAGTCGTGCTCTCTGGTTATTACACAACGTTGCCAAACTAGTTTCCACCATGTTATCTGCACAACCCTTCCCCTCCTAAAAGCACAATTCCCCTTGTGAAGTTCCCACATCCTGAATAAAATTCCTGAATGCAACTCTTAAAAACCTCAGTGGTTCCACTCCCGGCCCGACCCAACAGCACCATCACAGCTGGGAACAACAGGGCAAAGTCAGGACCCATCGCGACCATTTAAATGACAACTAGAATTTCATTTCAGAGCCTGTTGTTTGTGCAAACAACCCAAGGTCTGAAATAGAAGAGGTGAGAAGCAGACTGCAACGCGCTCAGCTTTCTTAGCAAGGAGCTGTGAAACTGCAGTTGGGGAGAAATTGGTGTAGTTCACAGAGAAAAGCCAACGTTTCCAAAAGCGAACACAGCTCCGTGGATGTCAAATCACATATCTGATTCTCCCCCCCCCCCCCCCCCCCCC